AGCAGTTTAAACTGGGGGGTGGGAATAACTCACAGGGTAATGGTGAATAACCTCACCTCATCCACCGTCCAGTCCTGGCCTTGTTACACTGAAGCTTAAGACGAGGAGGAGAAAAGGCAACTTGCACATGATTAAGACACTTTCTGCAAACTCATCATCATGTAATATGAGACACCAAGTAAAGGATTAACAAGTTATGTGGTTGACCCTATGACTTCGATCAAGCAGGGCAGACTTTTCCAAAAAGCAGGCGGCATCAGATATTGTTTTTATTTATTTAACCCCAAGGAAGCCGGGAATGCCACTAATACACAGGGGGTTATAAAGAGTAAAAATGAGAGAAAAGACTGAGTACAGCGGATCAGTTTTTGATGGAAGGATAAAAGATGAACGGGATTCAAGAAGATGGCGATTGAGGTTGACTTTAAATTTTTTAAGATTATGGTTATCAGGGAAGCATGCAAACAGGAGGGAGTTCCACAGGCGGGAAGTGCGAGAAAAGAAACTGTTCGAGAAGTGGCGGTAACATTTAACTATTTGAACAGTAAAAGGGTGGGACCTAGATGCCAACCTAGTAGCACGCTTAAATTCACGAAGTTGGGGTATAAGGGAAAAAAGCTCATCAGAGTAGCTGCTATGAACATATTTGTAGAAAAGACAGAAGGAAGTCACATCTCATTATAAAGGCGGAACGCACTACTAAAAAAAATCAAGTAATGTTTCATTGTCCATATCTCAGCCATTTTAACTACAGAAAACCATACGCGTAACTATCTGCCTTAGAAATGGAGAAAAGTTAATTGTGTTTCTTTGTAATCATACTTATTATAAAACCCAGGTTGTGTGTGTCTGTTCGTTTATATATTGGATCGGATTTCCTACATTTTTCAACCGATTTCAACAAAACTTCACAGGACTACGTAAAATTACCTTGCGGTGGTTCTGACAGCGCCAAAAATTGGAAAAACACAATTGTTTTTGCACGAAATCAATTTGAAAAAACGATTAAGAGGCAACGTTGTCGAGAATGAAAGGGGGACAACTCATATGAAGTTATACTTATTTTAAAACCCAGGTTGTTTGTGAGTATATGTCTGTGTTCGTTTATATATGGGATCGGATTTCCTAAATTTTTCAACCGATTTCAACAAAACTTCACTTTATTTTCTTATTGTCTTGCACGCTTTTTTCTTTATTTTTACATTCAGAATGCTTTAAAAAATCCATTTACAAGACAATTGTTTATAATAAAATTCTATTCAATCAATAGACTCATAACGATTGAAAACAATGTTTTTGCTTGAATTTGGGTTTGACGAATTCGTAAAAAAAAAAAAAAAAAAAAAAAAACTAATTAAGACATGCGTGTCCGTCAACCTTAAACAATAATCTTTGTCAATTTTATTTTTCAGTCTTTATGATGGTCGATACTTGATCTATCTCTTACTATTACACCCCTGGGCAAAGCCGGGCTCTACTGCTAGTACTTTTCTATAATTAAAAACTGAGGTCTTGATCTAATATTATCTATGAGGACAATTTTATTGACACACGTTATTGCATGTGATTTGTTTCTAATTTATTCCTTTGAGCATCGAAATATATATTTCTTCTCCAGATAACTAGCAATTATTATGAACTTTTCTTCTTTCTAAAGCAATAAGAAGATTCATACGGAAGAAGAAAAATATTCTTAGTCTACAACACTTGGCGACGAGGTATTCGGATTCATACGGAGGAAGAAAAACATTCTTACTCTACAACACTTGGCGACGAGGTATTCGGATTCATACGGAGGAAGAAAAACATTCTTACTCTACAACACTTGACGACGAGGTATTCGGATTCATACGCAGGAAGAAAAACATTCTTACTCTACAACACTTGGCGACGAGGTATTCGGATTCATACGGAGGAAGAAAAACATTCGTACTCTACAACACTTGACGACGAGGTATTCGGATTCATACGGAGGAAGAAAAACATTCTTACTCTACAACACTTGGCGACGAGGTATTCGGATTCATACGGAGGAAGAAAAACATTCTTACTCTACAACACTTGGCGACGAGGTATTCGGATTCATACGGAGGAAGAAAAACATTCGTACTCTACAACACTTGGCGACGAGGTATTCGGATTCATACGGAGGAAGAAAAACATTCGTACTCTACAACACTTGACGACGAGGTATTCGGATTCATACGAAGGAAGAAAAACATTCTTACTCTACAACACTTGACGACGAGGTATTCGGATTCATACGGAGGAAGAAAAACATTCGTACTCTACAACACTTGGCGACGAGGATTTGAAATTCATAACGGTGGAAGGAAAAAAAAATTTTCACCCGCCATAACAAATTTGGCCACGAGTATTCAAACACATACGGAGGAAGAAAAATTTTCGTTCACTCTACAACAAATAAATATAATGTTTTCCAGGCACTAAAACTGAGTTAGTCTCATAAAACATCAAAAGACTCTACTTGATGTTACCTATATTACATGTAACATAATTATTTATTCATCTCCGGGCTTCGTCGATTACTGTCGGCCAGGCTTTGTTTTTTGTTTTTTTAAACGTTGATTGTACATTCTCTGGAGCATTTAAGAGACTTGTCGGAGGTATCTTCTCCTAAATTTTGAAACCACCACTTGCGGGAGCTCTCGAATTACTGTATATATATACTTTGGGAGACCTTACCTCGTTCTCTTTTCTCTTCTCATTTTCAGCGGACACTACAACAATGTAAAGCTCTCGCAGAAGAAAACGTCCCATCTTGTGGGACACACATGATCATTATACACACACACGTACACACACGTACGAACATTCACTCACGTATACTTTGAAACAAACTCTTCACATTAATTTGTTACACACACATTATTGTCTTTGTCCTTTGTAAACGTCTTTGTTAATACACATTAATTTGTTTGTACATATGTATCAGTTCTTGTTTTCTTCACACATTTTCTTTTACATTTCTTTTGGTGGAGTCATTACGAGTCCGCCATATTTGTTTTGGGCTATATCAGGAGATCACACGTGTTTATCTCACAACAGACTCTCTTCTTCTATCATCTTAAATAGGTGTTTTTTATATCTATTTGTTATCCAAGTGCGTGTGTCCTGAGTTGATCACGTGTTTATATTGTCGTGTCCACTAAAATATCAAATACAATATTTATAAACCAATCACACTCAAGAAAACCCACCAATAAAATCATAGAATACAAATCAGAGTGTTTGTTGTATTAGTCATCATTATTTTTAGGTAGATACCGACCAAATATCATGCGGACGTAGTAGAAGACATACCACGTGACTTCTTAGGGTCAATTAGGTATAAATAAATAATTTAATTCTGGAGCCGATTTTGTTACGAAAAAGTGTATAAAAACATACGAAATCTGTTCCCAAACAGGATACACGCAGCTATCACCAAACTCCACGCCACTCTCGCTTATGATCTTCACGACCTCATGCTAAAAGCGACAGTGTTGACAAACTTTAGACTACGGCAACACCGCCAACAGTAAGAGACAATTTCTAACTATCTCTTGTATCCGCTTTACTATGAATCATGCACACATGTGTTGACTTTTTGCATACAAACACACATATAACAACATTTCATTGTTTCTCACATACGTACACAAAGACAATTTATATTTTATTTCAGAACTTTATAAACCCAAACAAAAAGACATTATTTTCCAATCTATCATCAACGGCTTGTATTCTTGTCGTTATATTAAATTAATACTTATTTGTTGAAACTACGTTGTCTTTTCTACTGAATTTTATTCCTTCAATCGTGTAATTATTCTAGACGGCCAAATTACGAGCGACTCTGTAATGATATTTTGTTAATGTATCGAATCCCAACACTCCAAATTTTAACATTCAACGAAAAACCGAGTAGAAGGATTCCTACAATATATATATATATATATATATATATATATATATATATATTTGTATATTTAGGCAGCAATCCTTCCTTTATGCATGTTTCATTAAAAACGACAGACAAGGTACTACGGTTGAGCTTTTTATTTAATTTTTCTTGTGTTCTAACAAGAGCTTTCTTTTCTGGACAAAGAGTGTGTAAGAACTGTCCGAATGTTCTGTATTTCCGAGCGCTTTCGGCTATACCTTTAGCCATTATCAAGGATGATTCGATTATCAGCTTAGTAGAGTGTGTGTGTTCTGTGTATGTTCGGTGTGTGGTAGTGATGTTTTTAGTTTCCGAATACGGTTAGCACATTGTGGCTTTGTTCATAGTTAATATTGTTAAGAGTTGGCCTTTTCTTTTTTATTATTAGAGCTTCCATTATTTTTAGTCTTTTTTTGCAAGTGGATGCAGTTAATATATTTGTGTTTTCTACTAGTATGTTCCTAATAGTGTCGGGTAAATCTGAGTGTGTATTTAAATGTGTTCTGATGGAGCTGTGATCAGATAGGTGTAATGTAAGACGTCTGGATAAACATGTGGTTGTGTAGCCGATGTAATTATTTATGAGTCCGGTTTGGTGAGGAACACAGTTCCTTAAGAGGCATTTGAACTTATAGATAATGTTCGTTCTTTGTAATTTTGACTTAGTTGGTGTGTTGTTATTTTTGAGGATAAAGTTGGCCGTCTTAAATTTTTATAATAGATAATAAGTTTGATTTTTTATTCGAATCAATAAAAATAGTATATATATATATATATATATATATATATATATATATATATATATATATATATATATATATAGCGTGGCAACTGATATCTAGGGAAGGTGCAGATCTGCATCGAAGTGTTAGGGGCTGATGCCGAAGTTTGATGGGCACTGAGTGCAAAATCCATTTTGGAATCATTTAAGGTGAACCACTACATTTGGTAGTTAGCTTTGCCCATCTGGTCTACAAATAAATATGACACAAGTAGTACTTTATAGATAGTGGGTCCTATGACTATTTAGGTGTTTTTTCAGGGTATTTCGGCTTACGGCTATCTCATATTGAAACACCGGCTCCCGTACGATCGCCAAAGTTAAGCAAAGTCAAGCCTGGTCAGTACCCAGATGGGTAACCGCTTGGGAATACCAGCTGCTGTAAGCTTTGATGTGCAGGCGGTGTAATGGTTAATGGCTCGGAGTTTCAATTCTCGTTAGGTTCCTTATATTCGCAAGTACCCGAGGCAAAGGTATGAATTCACCTCTTCTACTCCATCTATGGGTTAATGAGTGAGACTTATATCGCTAAACAATTATTATCTTTAAAAAATTCTTACAATCTAAAAAAATATTTTTTGACTTTAAATGACCTGCAGAGGGTTCATAATCCGTAAAAAACGAATCAATCAATTTTCTGAATATTTCATGAGATTTCTTGGTGCGAATCAGTATCATTTGCTAGAATGGTAAGTGATCAGCAAGCTGATCACTTCCACCTTTATGGTAATCTCCTCGGTATTTACCAAACCTTCCCATGAGGCAGGATGCGGCACAAGGCCAATTTTTATGTGAGGCAAATGTGGTCGCTGGCAAAAATTCCCCGTATAGCTCATATACACGGGGTCGGGTTTGTCAACCTCCTCAGACCTTTAAGAGACTTGTCGGAGTTATCTTCTCCTAAATTTTGAAACCACCGCTTGCGGGAGCTCTCGAATTACTGTATATATATACTTTGGGAGACCTTGCTTCGTTCTCTTTTCTCTTCTCATTTTCAGCGGACACTACAACAATGTAAAGCTCTTGCAGAAGAAAACGTCCCCTCTTGTGGGACACGCATGATCATTATACACACACACACACACACACACACACACACACACACACACACACACACACACACACACACACGTACGTACGAACATTCACTCAAGTATACTTTGAAACAAACTTCACATTATTTTGTTACACACACATTATTGTCTTTGTCCTTTGTAAACCTCTTTGTTAATACACATTAATTTGTCTCTGCCCTTTGGCAGTCTGGGTCCCTCTCTGCCCGAAAGCGGAGAGTTCGTCAAGATCTAAGAGCTCTGTGAGCGGTTTGCTGGACAATCTCCTCACAGATAAAGAAGAGTCTTGAAGCAGCAGAAATCTGGTTCTATGGAAGGATGCTGGGAATACCATGGACAGAACATCTGAGCAACGATGATGTTCTAGAGACAATGGCGACAAAAAAAAACGCTTATACTTAACATCAAGAAGAGACAGCTGGAATTTCAAGGTTGCATAATGAAGAAAGCAGGCTTTGAAAAGGAGAGACTGAAAATAACTGGGACAGAGGAAAACAACAGAAAACCTACTTAGTGAGCTTGAGTAAATGAGTGACGGAAGAAGATAAATTAAAAATAAATTATTAAGAGCTACGAAGGGCAGAAAATTGTGGAGAGCCACAATCGCCCACGTCCTGAAGGGACATGGCACATAGAAGAAGACGACTGTGTTAACTGGTTGAATCATTTGTCTTAGGATCTCGGAGGAAGGTTTATCTGCTAAGTTTTTTTATGACGTGTTAAGAGCATTTACAATTCAGTCAGTTATGTGCCATGCGTGATACACGTTTAGGCGATCATGTATCTTTCGATACATTACTGACGAAGCAGATTTTTTTTTCTGCAGTAGGTTGGCATTTTTTCTGCGGTAGACCATTTGCCATTCAAGGCTATAGAACCCGGTCTGTCCTGCTATTTACCCATAGATAGGGGAGAAAAAGAAGATTCATACCTTTCCAAAGGGTATTATTAGCACTCAAGTGAATGTGATGGATTCGACTCAGATTCGAACTTGGCTCTCCGATTCCGTAATCTGAGCCGCTATGGTAAATCCCTGACTTGCTCATAATTTCTGTCATCTATAGCGCCTTGTTAATATCGAGACCTTGGTCAGTATATCGATTGAGTTGATAGAACGTTAGATGAGTTCGATCAATTTTGTTCCCATGCGAAACGAAAATTGTAACCGGTGGGTCGTCATACGATTGAAGACGTCGCTTTAGTCTAATACATGCACTATCTTGTAAAATCGAATCGAAAAAAAAAACAATCTTTTGTTACATGCTTTATTATTCAGCTTGACATGTTCGTCTTTGTTGATATACTCACAACGTTTCAACCGCTGAACACTTCGGCCTTCCTCTGGTATCTCCCGTCTTGGAATATCGAACCAAACACTTTACACAATCTACGACGGTAGGTTGTTCTCACTTTGCTTTCCATGCTTGTTTTTTACGTTATTATTCATCCGGTAAAAGGCCCGAGAGCCAATAAAGATAGAGGGTCACTCTACAGGGCTGTTTTAAGGACGCAGGAATTGTAGTTTATGAAGTTATGTAGGCTAGATAACTGTCGACCCTGGACTTGAATAGGTTAAGATTATTGTGATCAGAGGCAGTATCCTATCGGGAGTAGCGGCTCTTGGGAAGAAGTTACCTAAAATGGAACCTTTACATGTATATCTTAAGGCGTTAGAGTCTATGCATGTATCAATTCTATGTAGTTTTGATTTAATTATTTGAGTGGTCGTTACGCGTATATCTCATGGCGTTAGTGTTTATGTATGTATGAAATTTTAAATTCTATGTTTTTATTTTATTAGTCGAGTAGATTTTACGTGTATATCTTATGGCGTTAGTGTTTATGTATGTATCAACTTTATAAATTCTATATTGTATTTTATTTCATTAGTTGTGTAGACGTTCCGTGTATATATTATGGCATTAGTGTTTTTGCATGCATCAATTTTATAAATTCAACGTTTATTTTTTTCATTAGTCGAGTAGACATTGCGTGTATATCTTATGGCGTTAGCGTGTCTGTATGTATTAATTTTAAAAATTCATGTTTTAATTCCGTTAGCTGAGTAGACGTTACGTGTATATCTTATCGCATTAGTGTTTATATAATTATCAATTTTTAAATTCTATATCGATTTGATTCTATTAGTCGATTCGACGTTATGTGCATAACTAACGACGTAAGTATTTGTGTATGCATCAATTTTTTATATTCTATGAAGTTTTGTTTTAATTATTTGAGTAAACGCTATGTGTGTATCTTATGACGTTAATGTTTATGTATCAATTTTTAAAATCTGTTTTTATTTCATTAGACGAGTAGACTTTACATGTATATGTTATGGTTTTAGTGTTTATGTATATATCAATTTTTGATATCTACATTTTAATTTAGTTATTATAGTAGACGTTATATGTATACCTTATGTCGTTTAATGTTTAAATTCTATGTTTTTGATTTTATCATTTCAGTAGATGTTATGTGTATATCTTAAGGCGTTAATGTTTACGTATGCATCAATTTTTTATATTCTATGAAGTTTTGTTTTAATTATTTGAGTAGACATCACGTGTATATCTCATGGTGTTAGTGTTTATGTATGTATCAATTTTTGATATATATATATATTTTACTATAGTTGAGTAGACATTACGTGTATATTTTATGTCGATTAATGTTTACGTATGTATCAATTTTTAAATTCTATGTCTTTTGATTTGATTATATCTTAAGGCGTTAGTGTTTACGTATGTATCAATTTTTATATGATATTTTGTTTTAATTATTTGAGAAGACGTTACGTGTATATCTTAAGGCGTTAGTCTTTACCTATGTATCAATTTTTAAATTCTATTTTGTTTTGACCAATGAAAATAAAACAACATACGGTTGAAAAATTGAAACATAAATATTAATGGCATTAGACCAATTTCAAAGATTTTGATGACGTTAATTAAATGAAGAAATGTCAAATTTATAAAGATTTACTTACTTGTTTCATGGAAACAATTCTTTATACAAAAAAATTGCTTTTCTAAATTGCATTTCATGCTAAATCACTTTTAAGAAAAAATTGCATTTGTATATTTCCCCTCTTTCTGAAATGATGTAAAACGGAGAACTATTTACAATTAATTTCTATGTAGTAAATTTTTAAGCGTTCTAAGAAGACATTATTATTTCCATGTCTATCTATCTTGATTTTCAAGTATGAGTTTCGTTTTCTGCATTGGACAATGCGGAACGTTTCACATACGTCTTTACACTTTAATGCTTAGCCTGACGTATTTTTAGGTACCTTCTTTCTTTGTAAGTACTAAAGAATCTGAAATCTGACCTAGAGCTGGGCGCCCTTTTAGAATTGAACTCTTTTCTGGAAATATTCTAAATTAATGTAATTTCCCGCAATTATTTTGTGGAAGCCTATCGAAAATATTACCCCAAAATAATTTTAGGATTCGTGAACAAATGATTCTTCGCATTACATGGTTTACGGCCATATCACGTTGAAACACCGGTGTTGTAAGCTTGAACGTATGGTTGGTGCAATGGATAACGGCTCAAAATTGGAAACCGGAGAGCCGTGTTCCAATTCCAGTAGGGTTCGTTATATTCACAAGCGCGCAAATAGCCTTGGGGGAAGGTATGAATTTCTCTCTCCTCTTCCAGGTATGGGCTATTTATTAGAAATTGTACCAGTAAATTATTATTTTCTCCAAATCTTACAAAAATATATTCTGGCTTTAAATAACCTGCAAAAAAGTCGTAAAAAAATTTTTTTAACCAATTCCCCCTCCCCAAGCAAGGCAATTACGTAACTAAGACGCCACTGGGAGTGAAAGAGAACGAGAAGGAATAGCAACTCGATTCTAAACAGAAATCAAGGGATAAGCTTCTATTTTTGTTCAAAAGACACAAATCATTCAGTGAATCAATCAAAATCTCCTCATTACGTCAATTCGGCTTATGAAATGATTCATACGTACAGTTTATGATCGGATATTGGGGTAAACTTTTATTTATAATGACTAGAGAATAAAATGACGTTAACTCAAATGATATTAAACTGTATAATGTTAGTGTGCGCATGGCAGCCACACCCACCAAGGCCAGCCCGTAATGCTAGTAAATTGTATCCATTGAATTAAAAGAGAGATAAAATGAATCGATGGAGTGAGAGAAAGTTTGAATAATCGCGACATTTGTTCAAATTCCCACAGTGGTGGATTGATTAAACGCAAACGTTGCCGGACGGGCGTTGCTGAGTGGTAAGAAATATGAAATAAATGAAAACGGTCAAAAAATAAAATAAAATAAATAAATAAAAAAAAGACTCGGACCCGACAAAAACAGGAAAGAAGGAATTGAAGGCTTAACCTCTCCCTCTTTTCATGGTGCAGGTGTGTACGGACGGGGGCTGATAAAGAGGCGGGGCAGGGACCCCGTGAAACAAGGCGAGAGCATCGAGAATATCGTTCACAGCGTGAATGAAACGCTAAAGTTGGAGGGGAGGGGATGTGCTACCACGAGGGGTAAACAGAATAGAAATGTAATGAGAAACGGAAAGAAAGAAATAAAGGAAGAATGGTAAATAAGAAGCTATTGATGAACGAAAGAAAGGACGATAAGCAAGAAATAGACAAACTGGGAAGAAGAAGAAGAAGAAGAAGAAGAAGAAGAAGAAGAAGAAGAAGAAGAAGAAGAAGAAGAAGAAGAAGAAGACGAGTAGCCGAAGAAGAAAAGGAAAAAGAAAAAAAAAGCGGGGTTCGATAGAGAAAAAAAGGAGAAAGAGGAAGGAAATGGAAAGGAACAAGAAAAAGAAAGACGATAAAGTGAAAAGGGAGAAGAAGAAAATGGATATGAAGCAAGAAGAATAAAAAAAAAGAAAGAAGTGAAAAGAGGGAGAGGCAGAAGTGAGAAATGTAAAAATAAAAAAGGAAAAAATAATTACGTTGATAAGAAAAGAGAACAAGAGGTAAAGTGGAAGAAGAAAGGTAATAAAAAAGGTAGAAGAGAAAATGAAGAAGAAATTTTATACTGAAATTGAACTAGTTTATGAAGAAGAAGAAAGAAGGAGGAGGAAGAGGAGGAAGGGAGGAAAAGGCGGAGATGGAGAGAAAAGACGTTTGGAAGAGGAAGGAAGCAAAAGAAGCAAGGGTCGGAAAAAGCGATGCGATGATGAAGACAAAACGGAAAACACAAGAAGAAGAAGCGGTTGAGAGGATGAAGAATAAGATGTGAGTCAAGTTAAACAACAACAACAACAACTATATTACTCCCCCGCCAAAAAAACCAAAAAAAAAAAAAGAAAGAAAGAAAAAATTGTCCCTGAAAATTGAAAGATAACTGGGAGTATTTTCACATGAAAGGACACAACGGATGATTGGTTGACGACGGACAAGTAGAAAGTAACTGGATACGAATTTATAACAAAGATAGGAAGTTCATCAGCAGCGTGAGGTCAGGTGCAGACACAAGGTATTTCTCGCTTCAGGATTAGGGTAAAACGAACGGTGTGTGTGGGGTGAGGGAGAGAGAGGTAAACAATTCAGAGGTGAGGATGCAGCCACGTGAAAACGTTTAATATAAACAAACCCCAGGGCTGGAAGTGACATAAAGAAGTTTAGAGAAAGGTGTGCTTGCGTGTGAAAATAAATCGTGCATAACACAGAGAAAAATAAAAAAGGGCAAGTTCTCTCTATCTATTTATATCAGGTCAAGGTGGGACCTTCTTATCAATACCCTATAATTTGATTTGCCTTCTTACAGTTGGCAAACTGGCAAAATGTAGTGTGCCATAAAAGGGCTCAAAGGAGAAAAATACTGCACACACTGACATCCGTCGACGCTTGCTGAATGTTTATGGGAAGATATTATTGGATGTGCAAAATTTAATTAATGCAATAAAAACTGACCAAATTAAAAGAGGCAAGTAGAAAACTTCAACAATATTTGGCAATACGAAAAAAAAAATTGAAAAGAGAAAAATAATTCTACAGAATGTGCTAACCGGTTATCGCTCCTTACACTTTAGCAACTCGATCGATGAAATTAAAATATTGTGTACACAGGGCTAAAAATGAGGAAATACAAGGAATATTAATATGGGTACATTTGTAAAATAATCGCACTCAAGTCCGCACAAACAATCTTTATGTTTGCATAAGGACAGTTGTCTTGATTCAATATGAATTGTCTCAAAGACTTTAAGTGATAGTCGGAATGCGACCTGCTCAAAACTGAGATCATATCCTCACGGAAGGACGAGGCACATTCTCAATTTTTAATCACATGTTCTGAGATTGCAGCCCCGGATGTACCAGAACACTTATGCAAATTTTCTAGTCGACCCTTTTCCCCGTCCTGGGTAAGACGTTAAACTACATCCGCGTCCCGGGTAAGACGATAAACTACGCCCAGCAGCAAGGCCTCAGATCAGGAGGTTTTGAGGAGCGTGGAACCACCTCTTAATTGATGGTGTTCTCAGTTCCACCCTGACCCGGGGTGGTAGCACCTGTTAGAGTCCCAGCTATGAGCAAATAGTTAACTATTACCAGCAATACTTTTTTGAAAATAATTATTACCAGCAATAAATTTTGAAGGAAAAATATTACCAGAAACAGATCTTTGATAAAACAAAATATTACCAGCAATAAAAAAAATTGTCGGCATTAAATAGCCCATTGAGATTGATATGCCGTAAAACAAAATAAACCAAACCAATCTAAACCGAAGAATACATATTATATTCATACGAATCTATCCTAAAAATATTGTCGGCATTAAATAACCCATTGAGGTTGATATGCCATAAAACAAAATAAACCAAACCAATCTAAACCGAAGAATACATATTATATTCATACGAATCTATCCTAAAAATATTGTCGGCATTAAATAACCCATTGAGGTTGATATGCCGTAAAACAAAATAAACCAAACCAATCTAAACCGAAGAATACATATTATATTCATACGAATCTATCCTAAAAATATTGTCGGCATTAAATAACCCATTGAGGTTGATATGCCGTAAAACAAAATAAACCAAACCAATCTAAACCGAAGAATACATATTATATTCATACGAATCTATCCTAAAAATTTTGTCGTCATTAAATAACCCATTGAGGTTGATATGCCGTAAAACAAAAATAAACCAAACCAATCTAAACCGAAGAATACATATTATATTCATACGAATCTATCCTAAAAATTTTGTCGTCATTAAATAACCTATTGAGGTTGATATGCCGTAAAACAAAATAAACCAAACCAATCTAAACCGAAGAATACATATTATATTCATACGAATCTATCCTAAAAATGTTGTCGGCATTAAATAACCCATTGAGGTTGATATGCCGTAAAACAAAATAAACCAAACCAAACCAAATCAAACAACCCTTTTCCAAAATGCACCAGTTTGTATTTCCTTCTCCAAGCTTCTCTTTTTTATGTGCACAATATTTTAATTTTCCCAATCGAGTTCTGACGAATGAGGAGCGATAAGCGGTTTCTTTTTGTGTTGCCAACTAATGGAGTTGAAGTGTTTCTCTTGTGTCTTTTAATTATATCTTTATTGTATCAATGATTATATTTCTTACTCTTCAGAACAACATACGCGGTCCTTCTATTCACCCGACGTCATATCACGTTGAAACACCTGTTCCCGTACAACGACCGAATTTAAGCAACGTCGAACCTGGGCAGTACCTGATTAGGTGACAGCTTGGGAATACCAGGTGCTGTAAGCTTGAATGTACGGATATTGCAATGGAAAACGGTTCGGAATTGTTAACTACAGAACCGAGATCCAATTCTCGTTGGCTTCCTTATATTCACTAACGCGTTAATACCATTGGGAAAGGTATGAATCCATTTAATCTCCCCTTAGCTATGTGTTAATTAGTAAGACTTGTATCAGTAAACCATTATTATTTTTTTAAATGCTTACAATCTAAAAAATATTGTCTGGTTTTAAATAAGCTGCAAAGGGTTGTTAAGCCGTAGAAAACGAACCAGTCAGCAAAAACTAGTGTTCATTCTATCATGATGATGATGATGATCATCTCCTTGACTTTTGTGATCGTAGGTGGTGGGTGGCGAATGCAGAAGCCATATTGAATCTTCTCCCCAACGGTCTATCAACGGCAGCCATCATCAATTCTGGTATAGTCATAATTGACCATTGTTTGACATTGTCTAACCAGTTTTTGCGTTGACGTCCTCTCCTACGCCCACCTTCAACGGTGCCTTGCACGATGGTCTTTTGCACAGTCTGTCGTGCCTTGTAACGTGTTCAAACCACGCCATTTTTTCGCCATTTGCAAGGGGCGAGAAGAGGTTCCTGGTAGCCCACAAAACATTCAACCCTTTTCCGCACAAACTCCGCTGTACGCTTTATTAATTTCTTCAGTGTTTCAAATGGATAAACCTTTAGTTAAAACGTCATTTTCTCTGGCATTTGTGAATTCAATCTCTGGCTGTGGTATTGCTGAGAAACCACGTGCTATGATTTAGTGGAAGAAACGGGCAAGCAACACAGTGGCGAATAAAACTGGTGAGTTGTCCCCCTTGAGCATGACAAGCAGAATAAGAACAATCTACTGTCGTTGTTTGAATAAAGGGTTTGAAATTCCGAGAAGACAGATATCTGACGATGGCCGAAACTTCGTGAGCCTAACAACAAAAGACAAGCACGTCGGCCCGAATAGCAAAACTTCTTAAGAAGAACAGAAACAAAGAAAAAAATCATTAAAATATCATTGTTTTGCTTTGAAATGGTTGTCGTAAAATAAGATGGAGTTAGGGGGGTGTCTATTGCATCGTTAACTGCGAATGACGGAAATTTCCGTCATTGAAGGACTGCAATTACAACTATAGCACATTTTTAACCCCGTTAACAATAGTAGTTAGCATTTGTGGGGTATGCAACGGTCATCGCCACAGAAAGTGGAATCGTATAGGATCAAGATAAGTGAACAATTAATGTTATTTATTACTGTTAATGCTTTGTCACTTGATATTGATCACTGTAATTGTGAAAACTGTCTTAAAAATGTTATGAATATCCTAGTCCAGTGCTACTCAAAATGTCATATCGTCTGCCGGTACGCGGAGTGTTTCGACTAAAACAGCGAAACAGTAGTCACATTCCACGCCACATGAGACTATCTGGATGTCTGACTCGTTTTTTGGGTTTTTTTTTTAACATTTTCATTTTACATTATTTACATTATTCGGACTATTGTCCTCATCTTTGTCGCCATATTTATTATAACAGTTGGGCCGTTGTACGCTCCGGCCTTCTTCAGGTGGTTGGAATGTCGAACTGAACCCTTTATTTCGCTCACTTGGGTAGACTGTTCAAGTTCTACGTGCCATGTCTAATGGATGTCAGTTATAAGTTATTTCCTGTTAATTTCCCTCTGAAATTGTTGGAAGTGTTACCTGATGATCCGGAGTCCCTTAAAAAGGATTTTGGTGAAATAAATTATTGTAATGGTACCTTAAAGTGGTCTGTTTTTCATTATATATATATATATATATATATATATATATATATATATATATATAAGCAATATTTCAGGCCAAGAGAAACGTACCCCACTCCTAAAAGAGTAATACATTAAAACATTAAGAATATAAAAATCTGAAAGACAGTTTTAAATATTATATATACAGGGTGTCCGTAAATCTCTTTACAACTAAAAAAAATTTTGCAAAAGATAATGAACAGATAAATATGTGGAAATTGTTACAAAATGAGGAATAGATATTGAAGTCTTTTTTTAACTAATTTAGTCCACCTCTCTATGGGCGCCATTAGTTGCACGAAGCACATTCAGATCGTACTTGATTTCTTACCATGTTCGCTGTAGCATAGCCTCTTCAATGGCAGAAATGATATCAGTGGTTGTTTGCTTTAGTTCAGTGACGTCTCGTATCTTTGCCCGACGCACAATATCTTTAACAAAACCCCATAGAAAGATGTCGTCCACGGGAGTGATATCTGGTGAACGAGGTGGCCAGGGAATTGGGCCATCTCTTCCAATCCACCGGTCTGGAAATATTAGGGGTTCATTTAACAGTACCTCTTTCATTAACAGGATAACTGAAATACACAAATTCAATGTGATCAAAAACTTTCATAACTGCTAAGTTCATAGAACAAATCTGATTAAGAAATCTCATGAATTGTTTTGTAATATATTTTTTAAAATTGTAAAGAGACTTCATGGATACCCTATATATATATATATATATATATATATATATATATATATATATATATATATATATATATATATAATATGTGAAAATATACAGAAAATAGGAAGGAATTGGTTAGGTAAATAGTCCAAAGTTCCTTAGTATTTTAGTTATTATTTTTAAAAATAGTGCTCGATACAAAAGTAGAGCATAAATATAATTATTTATTTAAAAATATGATTCCAAATCGCTACATAAGAGGTCTCATGTTTCAAAACAAGAGCCGAAAACTTCAATATAATCCTTTAAATTAAATTGAGTTGAAATTAAAAAGGGCTCCGTTCCATCTTCAAGCGAAATTTTTGTTGGAATCAAAAAAAAAAAAATATATATATATATATATATATATTAAATGAGCCAATAATTTGAGAAAACGAAATATAAATAGTGTAAAGAGGTAAAAAAAAAAAAACACACACACACACACTTAAAAACACGAAATTGATCATAGAAGAACATGCGCCTAGACAGACAGTGTTTCAAAGATGGTGACTGACAGTAACACTAGCCCTGGGCAGGACGATAAATATATCGGCAGCAAGGCCTTTGATCAGGAGGTTTTGGGGAGCGTGGAATCACCTTTTAATTACTATTGTTCCCAGGTTCACCTTGACCGAGGGTGGTAGCATCTGTTAGGGTCCCAACTATGGGCAAATACTGAACTCACAAAAACAAAAGACTATAAAAGTATAAAAATACACTTGTATAGTAAAAATAGCAGCAACACATTTTTATATAAAAAAAATTGCTAACAATAACTATTTATAGATCCTTGTAATTGAAGCTATAAGATTGTGTTCGAAATATTTAGATTTTGGCATTAAATAACCCATGGAAGTTGATATGCCGCTGAACAAAATCAACTAACCTGGCACTAACACAGAATCAAAGAACAACGTGCTTAAACATTGAACAGAAATGAAAAAAGAGTTCCAGACAAGAATATTTTATTATTACCAGAATATATGAATTTATGAACGATTATTATACACGCTAAGTAAATTTTCAAATTGTCAATTTTCAAATTTAAAAAAAATTTATTTACTAACAAATGCTTCCTATAACAATAATTGGTTAAATGTAACCGTAAGTTCTATGCTAACAGTTTCTTCTATCGCACTTCCCGTTTGTGAAACTCTCTTCCAGCTCCATGCTTTCCAGCCAACTTTGATCTTCAAAAATTTAAATGCAATGTCAATTGTTTTCTTTTGTTTTCTTGGTTACTCTTCTATTGTTCTTGTTCTTTAATAATGTTTGTCTTTTTGCTTATTTTTTCACACCCAGTAACCCCTTGCGTCTTAGTGGCTTTACTGCCTTGCATCGGGTCAAATGATTAAAAACAAAACAAAAGAACCTGAAAACCTCTATATGCAATCTTTTATTTTTTATTATTTTTATTTTATTTTTTAATTTATTATTGCATATGGGTGTGTGTTTTTTGAATTTGCGCATTAAATCTGAAAAAATGAGTAAACAATAAGTTATAAAAATCTTTATAAATTTGACATGTTTCGCTATTTATTTTAGTTTCATCAAATATATTCGGAATGGGGCAGCGAGGAGATATTTTTGCATAGAATTCAAAATTAGTGATTGGTTTGGTTTGGTTTGGTTTGGTTTGTTTTACGGCATCCCAACCTCAATGGATTATTTAATACTGACAAGATTTTTATTGCTGGTAATAATTTTTTCCAAAATGTATTGGTGCTAATATATATATATATATATATATATATATATATTCAAAAGATGTATTGCTGCTAATATATAAATATTTTTACAAAAATGTATTTCTGCTAATATATATTTTTTACAAAAATGTATATATATATATATATATATATATATATATATATATATATATATATATATATATATATATATATTCTAAAAGATGTATTTGCTGCTAATATATATATTTTTTCTTTACAAAAATGTATTGCTGCTAATATATTTTTTTTTCCAAAAATGTATTACTGCTAATATATATATATTTTTCCCAAAATGTATTGGTGCAATGTATACATATATTTTTTTTTCTTCGAAAAATGTATTGCTGGTGATATTTTCCCTCAAAAATATATTGTTGGTAATATTTATTTTTCAAAAATGTATTGGTAGTAATATTTTTTATTCTAAATGCATTGCTGGTAATAATTTTTCTTCAAAAATATATTGCTGGTAATAATTTTTACAAAAATGTATTGCTGGTATTAAAACCTATTTTTACACTTTCATAGTGTTTTAACCCCAGTTTGGGGGTTAACTATTTTCCCATAGCTGGGACCTTAACAGGTGCTACCACCCCGGGTCAGGTTGGACCTGGGAACACCAGCAATTAAGAGGTGCTCTCACGTTCATCAAAATCTCCTGATCAGAGGCCTTGCTGTATTTTATCGTCTCGCCAAAGACTGCGATGAAGTTTATCGTCATATCCTGGACACATTAGTGATTGGTGAATTTATTCTTGATCGATTGAC